ACTTAAAACCCCCTTTAGTTTAATTTTTTATCTCCAAAATGCTTAAAAATAAAAATTTAAACGTTATATTTTAGCAGTAAAATCATTGTACAATAACATGACTAATTTTAGTTTTTTCTGGTCTCTTTAAATATGGAAACGAACTTAACTAATTCAGAAATGTACTTTTTTGTGTAACTCGAAAGTAATAATTTGAAGTTAAAAATGTTTGTAGTAAAATACATTCACCGACCTAAAATTTGATCCATTCAAAATAATGATTTATATAAAAATGCTCTAACTTTCAAAGGCTTATTTATTTGAAATTTTTAGCAACTTTTAGATAAAATACTGTAGTTTTAGAATTATTATTCGGACATCTAAAAGTAATTTAGTACTCGCCGGATATACGGGGGGGAGGGGGGGGGAAAGAAAACAATTTTTTCCTCTGTAGGTTAATTCTGCTAGTAGATCTGCATACAATTAACTTTATCAAGAAGACTGATTTGTTACCAACACTTTTTTTTTTATTTACCCCGATATCTTAATTTTTTGTGAAATGTGACGGTTTAAAGAAAATGCTACATTTTAGAAACGGTCATAATTTAAATGACGGTACAGAATAAACTACAAAATAAGTAGAGTGCTGTGGCCAACTCACAATATGACAACTGTCAAATATTCGTTACTTGGCAATTGCAGTTTAATTATTATTCATTATCAGCATAATATCATGGTTTTAACGCTTACTGATGCAACATGAGCAGTTGCTCTGGTACAAGACGGTAGGACTCAGTATTATACTTCTAGAATATTGGGTGTTACAAGGTGTAGCGTCCAGAGGTTTTAATAAAACTGGTAGTTTTTCGAGACGAAGAGAATCTGGCAGACGACGTTCTACAAATGTTCGAGATGATCGTTTCATGACATTAAATGTTTTGCGAGAAAGAAATACTACTGCTGTCATGGCTCGAAACCGTTTAGAAGAAGTACGTCAACTAGCTGTTAACGAAATAACGATTCAAAGGCGATTACGAGAACATGGATTACGCTCCAGAAGACCTGCAACTGGTCCAGAGTTACTTAGGCATCACAAACAGCACGTCTTCGATTTGCCAGGGAGCATTAACATTGGAATATCGATGAATGGAGTAAGATTTTATTTTCTGACGAGTCAAGGTTTTGTTTACGTTCTCCTGATGGCCGTGAAAGAATATACCGAAGAAGAGGCGAAAGGTTTGACCAAGCAAATTTTTCCACAAGACTCAGTTATGAAGGAGGATCGGTAATGGTTTGGGGCGGCATAAGCATGGAAGCTCGTACTGATTTAGTCATTGTTGGCGGCGGAGCAATGACAGCTTACCGATATATCGATATATTCGTGATGTGCTAGATTTATATGTAATTCCATTTGCACCATTTATAGGAAATGAATTCATGTTTATGCATGACAACGCTCGACCACATATTGCGAGGATTGTATCTCAATATTTGGACGAAACAGAAATTCAGAGGATGAACTGGCCATCGCGTAGCCCAGATCTCAATCCAATTGAGCACGTCTGGGACATGATGGGCAGACGAGTTCATAACCGAGTTCCTTCTCCAAGTATTTTAAATTTTTTGAGAGATGCTTTGGTCCAAGAATGGGATTAGATTGACCAGATGAAGATTCGATATCTAATAGAGGGTATGCCATGACGCATTGAGGCAGTTATTCGCGCTCGTGGGGAAAAAACCCGTTATTAATTTGTAATAATTATTAGTTTATTTGTTGTTTGAGTTGTTTATAAAATTAGGTATTACTCTGCTAAAACTGAATAAAAAAATTAAGAATGTTGCATTTTCTTTAAACCGTCACATTTCACAAACAAATTAAGATATCGGGGTAAATAAAAAATCAAAATGTTGGAAACAAATTAGTCTTCTTAATAAAGTTAATTGTGTGCAGATCTGCTAGCAGAATTAACCTACAGGATGTGTCAAAAGTAGAGGAAAAAATTGTTTTCTTTTCCCCCCTGTATATCCGGCGAGTACTAAATTACTTTTAGATGTCCGAATAATAATATTAAAACTACAGTATTTTATCTAAATCTAAATCAGCCTCCGCATTTGAAAGTTAGAGCATTTTTAAATAAATCATTATTTTGAATGGATCGAATTTTAAGTCGGTGAGTGTAGTCTATGCGCAAAAATAATAAACACCGCTGGATTTATGTTTTGGGTACTTCTCAGGTAATTTTAGGTTAGGTTTGCAAACTGGTCGTGTTAATGCACTTGAAACTGGAGAATCAACCATATAAGGTCGATAGATACTTAAAGTGGTTCCAACGAACATGTAAAAGATATTAGCAGGAGGCCGGCGATAACTTGCTTAGGTGGTGATTTTAGTGGGTAAAGGGTAAAACTATTGGGAAAGGGAGAACCTGTACCGAATCTCTATAAGGGATTTCCACATATCAAAAAAATATCAAGAAGTTACTTCATCGAAAACTATTTTTTGTGCCAGTGTATCTAAAAAACTAAAAAGAAAATAATTTTAAAATGGAATGAATTATTTTATCACATACAAAACAACAAAAGAAATCACATTGGAATAAAAAACAATAAGAAATCGTAGAATTTGAGGGTCGGCTTTGGCGCTGAACGTGTTAAATGTTTAGGATGTAATAAGATGTATCTATATACTTGCTGGATGTTATAAGAATGGCAGTTTTTCTGTAGAAATGGTATACTGTGACGTAACAACTGGATGTCACAAGATGCAAGGTTTTTCTGGATGTCACAAAGTGTTGTTAATAAAAATATATACCGTGTATACTTTGGATCTCACAACGATAGACCGTTTTATTTTTTTAAAATGTGTATGGTTGTGATATTTTTCGCTCAGCCATAATATTTTTTTAATTAAAAGAAGTCATATTTTAATTTTTTTCCTAAAGTCTTTGCAAAGGGTGGATGTCACAAAGTCAAAATTTTTGCTGGATGTCACATGATACGCTGGTCGAGTATATATATATATATATATATATATATAGAGAAAAAAGGGTTATTGGGAAATACCGCAAAAAAGAGAAAAAAAGCCTGAAAGGCAAACCGTAGACACGTGTTTCTGACTATTGGTCTTCATCAGTACGGTGCAGCCAAGTTCAAGATAGAATGGAACTAGCGATGGAAGAAAAAACAAACAGGAGATCACTCAAGTGGCCAACCACACATTTGTGGCTTCGGCCAACAATCCCTGTGATTACAGGGAAGTTATTAGCGTCGCCACGGCGGCAGTTTTAGCCATCATGGTGATGCATCCTAGCCCAAGGAAACTAAACATGAAAAGGTTTAGTGCGGTGAAGAATTAAGAGAAAAAAGGGTTATTGGGAAATACCGCAAAAAAGAGAAAAAAAGCCTGAAGGGCAAACCGTAGACACGTGTTTCTGACTATTGGTCTTCATCAGTACAGTGCAGCCAAGTTCAAGATAGAATGGAACTAGCGATGGAAGAAAAAACAAACAGGAGATCACTCAAGTGGCCAACCACACATTGGTGGCTTCGGCCAACAATCCCTGTGATTACAGGGAAGTTATTATATATATATATATATATATATATATATATATATATATATATATATTTTATATATTTTATTTAAACACAAATGTGAAAAATATGATAGAAAAAGCAGATATCGATGGTTTTTTTTATTTTGGAAAGAACCAGATATGGAAGTCAGACAAAGCATTTGAAAAACTAGCATACATTTAATTTAAAGCCACCAACTAAAAGCAAACAATATTTTATAAAAAGACTTGCCTGGAATGTCGTAAAAAAACAATCAAATCATTAGGCAAAATACATATTAAAACATGTTCAAAATAAGCATTGTGAGTGAAAAAATGTAGTCGAAGTGATAAAGGTTTTCGATCGATTGATGGATGATGTTACTAAAGATACTTATATTTGTTCACTACATTTTCATGGAGAAAGTGGTTCAACAGAAGAAAATCCTTGTCTGGTATTACACAATTTGAACTTTCTTATACGTTTGGTTATCAACCAGTTTTTGACGTTTTTTTAACGTACGTGTGCACGTTGGAAGGTGACGTATTTTTTAAATGTTTAAATGATCATGGGCAGACACTCAAAACTGATGTGGATAATCTTTTGATAATGCGTTTAATAGATCTGAGACATATTCCAATTTGCAAGGCAGCCTGAAACAGGTAAATCCCAATATTTTATGGTTGTGGTAGCATTTCATATTTTAAGGGGAGTACTTATAACATCCTATATAGTTATATATTATTTGTCTTTTTAAATCTTTTGTAAGCATTGAACATGACTCCAAGACTTGTGAAAGTAGATTCACAAAAGTTAAGTAATACAATACAACTAAAACAAAAATACAAGCCACTGAAGTAATCTACGTATTACGAGAAAAAAACATATTATTTAAATATTCGCCTTTGTGTAATTGTTCTTGATTAAAAATTTGAGCGGGAAATTTAATCAGAAAATGTTTTTCAATGTTTTTTAGATTGCTTAATTAAATGGACGAATCAATGAGTACTTCTTAAAATAGACACCATAATTGATTTTCTATGTAAATAAGAATGAAAATTCCGATGCGTTGTTATAGTCCATTACTAGATTCCTTTCTACTCTGTATACTGTAACCTTAAGTCATACATATTATACTTATGTTTTATGATTGAACTAACAAAAACATAAACTTTTAATTTTTATTACAATATATATTTTTATTTAAAAAAAGAAATATCGACATGTTCTTCTAAAAAAAGTGGGCTAAAAATTATTAAAAAAAAAAAACAGTAGAAAACCAAAATTTAAAATCGACCTGCCCGAGATTTATATCCGAAAATAATTAACTCGTTAGATAATGAAGCGTTTCCGCACTTTAAAAACGCACTATATATTCGTAAATCAATAAAACATATTTTTAATTACGGTTTTAATAAAAAAAAAACAATAGAAAAGCTGATCTTTAATACTAGTTTATGTTTCAGGAAAACTCCTTTTATTCTGTATTCTTTGTGACTACGTGTGGATTATGTGCAATATCCAGACTTTTCATATTTTACTTGTATGCAGATCAACTTACTTTCGAGGTAAGATATAATTAGATTTATTACTAAGAAATTATTGCTTATACAGTTAAGTTAGCAACACTTTAAGTTTGAAAAACAACGAACTTTATGTATAAAAATCTGATGTGTGCGACACATGACTTTCCTATCTATTTATTACGGGCTTTTTTTGGTTATTTTGTACAATCTATTGCAGCATCTCGATAAATTTTTAGAGGATAGACTAAATATATACATTGTCCACATACATCTCTACCTCGAAACATTTTTCTATAGATATTCATTGAAAACGAAAATACTGAAAAATTTTAATTTAGCACTTTTCCATTACGGTCCATTTTAGAAAAATCATGTAGAAACAAAAATTATAGAGATCGACATAGCAAACAACTTTTGGTTAACAATTTTCATAAAAATCAGAATTTTGCACATTTTGTCAAATTTCTGGAATACGGGCCATTTCAGGAAATTTTGACATTTAACAAAAATTATAGATAATAATATTAGAAGTAACTTTTATTTGAACAATTTTCTTCTCCAAACATAAATAATAACAGATATATTCCATAAAATATAAAAACGGACTCCCATAAAGTACCCCCCTAGATGTTCCGACTTTATCCAAAATTTAATCATTTCACGTCAGGCTGAAATAAACCTTAAGTTTAAAATTTAATGTTTTTTTCTTTATCTGTTTTTGAGTTTTCTTCAAAATTCGAAATTTACACATTTTCTCAAATATCTCGAATACAGTTCATTTTAGAAAAATTATGTATTAAATAAAAATAGAGAAAATAGAGAATTATATTAAAAACAACTTTTATTTGAACAATTTTTATAAAAAAATATTTTTTTTTACATTTTGTCAAATTTTTCGAATACGGACCATTTTAGGAAAATTTTGTATAGAATAAAAATTATAGAAAATTATATTAAAAATAACTTTTATTTGAAGAATTTTCTTCTCCAAACGTAAATTACAGATATATTCCATAAAATATAAAAATGACCACCTATAAAGTACCACCCCAAATATTTAGACTCTGTCCAAAATCTAATCAGTTCATAAGACACTGGAATAAAGCTGAAGTTTAAAATTTGGTGTTTTTCTGTGTATCGGTTCATGAGTTATGCGAGACACACACACACACACACACACACGCGCGCGCGCGCGCGCGCACACACACACTGACACACTGACACACTGACACTCTGACACACTGACACACTGACACACTGACACACTGACACACTGACACACTGACACACTTACACACTTACACACTGACACACTGACACACTGACACACTGACACACTGACACACTGACACACTGACACACTGACACACTGACACACTGACACATTGACACACTGACACACTGACACACTGACACACTGACACACTGACACACTGACACACTGACACACTGACACACTGACACACTGACACACTGACACACTGACACACTGACACACTGACACACTGACACACTGACACACTGACACACTGACACACTGACACACTGACACACTGACACACTGACACACTGACACACTGACACACTGACACACTGACACACTGACACACTGACACACTGACACACTGACACACTGACACACTGACACACTGACACACTGACACACTGACACACTGACACACTGACACACTGACACACTGACACACTGACACACTGACACACTGACACACTGACACACTGACATACTGACACACTGACACACTGACACACTGACACACTGACACACTGACACACTGACACACTGACACACTGACACACTGACACACTGACACACTGACACACTGACACACTGACACACTGACACACTGACACACTGACACACTGACACACTGACACACTGACACACTGACACACTGACACACTGACACACTGACACACTGACACACTGACACACTGACACACTGACACACTGACACACTGACACACTGACACACTGACACACTGACACACTGACACACTGACACACTGACACACTGACACACTGACACACTGACACACTTGACACAGTTGACACACTTAACACACTGACACACTGACACATTGACACATTGACACATTGACACACTGACACACTGACACACTGACACACTGACACACTGACACACTGACACACTGACACACTGACACACTGACACACTGACACACTGACACACTGACACACTGACACACTGACACACTGACACACTGACACACTGACACACTGACACACTGACACACTGACACACTGACACACTGACACACTGACACACTGACACACTGACACACTGACACACTGACACACTGACACACTGACACACTGACACACTGACACACTGACACACTGACACACTGACACACTGACACACTGACACACTGACACACTGACACACTGACACACTGACACACTGACACACTGACACACTGACACACTGACACACTGACACACTGACACACTGACACACTGACACACTGACACATTGACACAGTTGACACACTTAACACACTGACACACTGACACATTGACACATTGACACATTGACACATTGACACACTGACACACTGACACACTGACACACTGACACACTGACACACTGACACACTGACACACTGACACACTGACACACTGACACACTGACACACTGACACACTGACACACTGACACACTGACACACTGACACACTGACACACTGACACACTGACACACTGACACACTGACACACTGACACACTGACACACTGACACACTGACACACAGACATCATCCCGAAAATAGTCAAAACGGATTCAGGGGACCCCAAAACGTAAAAATCCGATGAAAAACTGGAGGTCGAAAAAAATCATGATTCCTATACTTTCCTTATCTGTATACAGATAGGAAAGTAAAAAATGAGTGTAATGTCACTCATCGCCCTACAGTGTGCTGCGGTCGTTTCAGTGTTGCACTGAAATCTAGAGATGGACAGTAGCAAATCTATATATGTTGGATAAAGTTAAGGATTACCCATCTTTAAATTCCCGCGATATAAATAAACTTTGTTTTCATTCAAGCAGGAACTCAGCTGATTTCGGTTTATAAATTCGAGCCCAAAGGGTGCTAATGATTATTTAGTAATATGCAGAATAAGCTGCCAGGTTCACAGTAGTTTTTATCTTTTTGTAGGCATCTGGTATTGGACAGGCTGCATTTGAAAGTAATTGGTATGAACAACCGAAAGAAATTAAACAAATGGTTATCACTATTATAATGAGATGTAACAAGGAAGTCTCATTATCTATTGGACCGTTTGATAAAATGTCTTTGAAAACGTTTGTAGTGGTAAGTAAAATAGCTATTGTGTTTTAAGAGCTAGCCGTACATTGCTAAGTTTGTTTGTAGAAAGCGGCAATGAAATTTTCTACTCAAAATAAACACAGCATTTTTTTCTACGATCACACTGTTTTCTTTTTTTTAATATAGTTTCAGTGAAACTATTTTAGTTTGTTCAAATTTAATGAAACAGTCTCGCCTACTGCAATATGATAACGTAGGAAGTGACGGATTCGTTCTTACGATGTACTCGGCGGCTAAATTTCGGCTTTAAGGTGAAACTGATACGACACCAAAACATATAAAATACGGAAATCGGCTTCAAATACCTCCTAAGTGGGCCAACTAGCCCTATTATTCCTTAAACATAACGCTGGTTTGTTAGTAGTTCGGGTATACACGGCAGTAATCGATTTTTGTAAATCCCTGAGAAACACAAATTTCATCCAGGCATTCCAGAAACGTAACTGGTTTTCAAACGAGAGATTTTACTTGTGCGTTTGGATAGGTGTGGGCTTAACGGGGGCGGTGGAGATGTAATGGTGGAGCAGAACAGTTTTCACGGAGAAAGAAAAAAGTGGCGGAAAAAAGAGAAAAAAAAATTCTGAGAAAAACAAGAGAGAAAAAAATTCTACCCTTATTGCACGGGTGGAAAATATGGTACCAGCTCTGGCGCCATTAGTGACAGGCTTCTGGTTTCATCTGCAGTGAACGAAGAAGTCTGTATGGCGCTATGATGGTGAATGCAGAATAGATGTTGCTTGAACGCCAGTTTTGGTAATACCAAAGAGTATAGTTAGCACAAGAGATCGCACTTAAATTTCAATCGATTTGAAAGTCTGCGACCTTGACAATTCAAAATATTTTACGCGGGTAAAATGTATCTAATCTAATATAACCTTGCTTTCTGATAATTTCTCTCTTTGATTTAAACATTTATTTGTAATCGAATTTTGTTATAGATCTGTATTTTTTATTACAAATTACATCAGGTCTGTGCAGTGAAAAACTGCAAAAATACTAATTAATTTTCTAGATGTCATTTTTCTCATATGACAGCAACCAATGTTCTGATGGGTGACGCCGGACTTTTCAAAAATACTACAGATCAATAGCGAGGAGGCATCGAGGTCAACAATATTTTAAAAACATAAATTTTGTAATAACCACACTAATTTTGTCTTCAAGTGGCTTAAAACTTGAATATTTTTTACTTTTAGATGTAATTTTTCTCATGCGTCAGCAACCAACGTGCTGAATGGTGACCCCAGACTTGTCAAAAATACCCCAGACCAATATGGAAGAGGTACCGAGGTCATTGAGATTTGAGCCAGAATTTAACATGGGAAGTATAGGGAGTGACAGGCCTGTGGTAATACAGTTTGCTCTGCGATCCTGTAGTACACCAGAGTGTACTTAAGTTAAACTCAGTGGAGTTCAAAAATACCTTCAGGTGGTCACTGCTAACGAGGAAGCCACTAAATTAAGATTAAGATATTAATCTCCCATAATTTCAAGGTACCCTACGGTACCCTGAAATTAAACGGCTAAGAACAGGTAATAAAAGAAACACATGGATAAATAAGAAAATATATTTACAAAAAAAATACCACGGCACGGTATCGGCACCCCCGGTATACAGAAAATAAATTCTCATTAAAATAAAATTTTGTTACAAATAACGGTTGAGTAATACAAGGAAAAAAATAATTAAACGGGAATTTATGGTTCACCCTGTATACAAAAAATAAATTCCCAATAAAACAAAATTTAATTAAATACAGTGGTTAAGAAATGCAAGCAAAATAATTGAACGGCAATAGATGATTCTCTCTGTATATAAAAAAAAATAAATTAAAATTTTCCACAAAATTTACAATTATTATTATTTTGTTGTTTCTGTTATTTTGCTTAAATATTTTTATCGTTGACTATTTTCTGATTTTGTTGTGCTTTAATGACAGTGTGAGTTATGGAAGAAGACAAAAAAATGCTGGATTTGTTTGTAGTTATAAAGACTGCAAAAATAAATCTTATATCGTTGCACATTCATTTTACAGATTTCCTCAAGATGTTGAAAGGTAAAATAAATAAAGTATAATATATAAGTCAAATACAGGGTGTTTTAAATTAGCTGTTGCTTCGGGATATTTTCTGTATCTTTAATCTGAGGGAGGATGGGTTGCCCCACAGTACTTAGGGTATATCTTAATAATAGTATATTATGCAACGATCATGTATTAATAGCCATTATATAAGAATTGCATGCCCTATTTTTTCTACGACCAAGAACCACTTCTTCAATCGAAAATAGATTAATTTAAAAAATTATAATTCTTTTAATCCCTCAAAACCTTAAATAATCTAATTTATTATGACTACTTGTTAAGACAACTAAATAATAAACTTTTTTTTGTTTCCCAAAAGTGTTTTGGATTTTTTCCCCTATTCGCTCCGTGAGAAGTTATGGAAAGGAAAGCAAAAGCGATACTAGCACTAGCTGCGGATAATTCGTGCATTTTAGGGCGATATTTTGTAATTTTGGCATATCAAATACACGTATACATTTTACTTTTTTTCAAAAAAGTAGGTACAAACAATACAATAAGCAACCGAAGTTGCTGTGTTGACAATTGTACAAATACTAGCAAAAAAACGGATCTACGTCAATTCATCGCCCGACAATTCATCGCGCGAAAATTCAGAGCCGACATTTCATCGTAAGACGATTCACCGCTACGATAATTCACCGCCACGACAATTTGTCGCCAGCCATTTTTTAGAATTCATTTTATAGTTTATTTTATTTTTTTTTATTATAATTAAAATTTTATTTTATATATTTTTTAGTATAGGTAATAAAAAACAAGTAGATATATTGAAAAAAAATATATTATAAAAAATTGTAGTTGCTAGTTATTACATTTTAAATTGAATTAATATAATATAATAATATTAAATAATTTAGACTTGCATTCGAAAATTATGCGCAATTCCTCGAAAATATTCCATGGTATTACGAGCGTCGTAGGATTCTGTAAGTAGTTTTAAACGACGTGCAGAATCTTTGTAAATTTTTTTTTGAGTAATTTCATTACCTGCCACAATTTGCTCTATTTTCAATTTGTTTAGGCTTTCCTCCTTTTGTAAAGCCTTAATTAGCCTCCAAATGTTGGGATGTGCAATGGAACCAATTGAACTGAAACTGTTATGCCATCCTTCAACTGCATTATTGGTTCTAGCAATTCCCTCTCTGGCTGCATTGTAACAATTCCAAGAAGATATAGGAAATTTTGGTAACCGTCTTCTTCCTCTTCTGTCTAATCTACCAATCCACATGTCTTCAAAATAGTTTATTAAATCTGCTAAGTCCTCGTTTTCTGCATAGAATTCACTTTCCAATAATAAATCAAAAGCACTATCTACATCGTCTTCAGGAACATAAGCAAGTGCAGCCAGAAGTCGCAAATTTGATGAAAACACTTCTTCATCCACATATCGCCTCTGAAATCCGGTATTCTCGATTTGTCTCCATATACACTGAGAAAAATGAAAAAAGCATCCACGAATTTGAGTATTAGGGAATTCACTTCGTACCGCATTCATCGCTGCTTTTTCGAAATCCATTAAAAAAGATGTAGGGCAAAGTTCAGGTTTCAAATTTTTTAATGCTGCATATAAACGTCTATAGCTGTCTTCTCTTTTATTCGGCAGAATTGCATATACTGTTGGAATGGTATTTGAATATTTGACGCCATGGATTGTTTATATTTGGAAAAACATATTAGGGGCTGTTGAAAAAGTTCCATCTCCGTACCAGTGTTCACACTCCAACATGTAGTCAAGATTTCTTGCTGTTGTAAACAGCATCTTCTGATGGGCCGCTGTCGTACATTAAAAATAACTGACCACTGCTTGTCAGTGTATATTCCTGTGGAATAACTAATTGAAGCAGAGAATTTGGAATCGCAGGAATTCCTTCTGACTTTTTCTTTTTTCGTTGAATAGTTCTTTTCATTGCACTCACTTGTGGTAATCTGGCTGCAGCCGATGATGATAAACCCTCGGAAACCTTTGCAATGATTTGTTGAGTAGTGTAACCACTTTGCTCAGCTAAAACTTTCATTTTTTTAACAGCTCTTCTTACTTCGGCATCAGCACTATCTGACACATGATTATGTTCGGTACTCTTCACAATTTCATCGCCTATGGTATGAATGCGACCGGTACATCTCCATTTATGATATATAGAACATTTCCAAATACCTTTTTCTCCAGAAATTTTTTCTCTAGAATGTGTATGGCCATTGTATAAAAGCATTTTGTGACCTCTTTCGCTGTCAACAAATTGTAACGGCATTTTCAAATTTTACAATGATGTAAACTCGTACAAAGACAAATTAAGAATGATTACAGTTCGTTGGTATTTCTTATTTAAACCTTATATACATATATTATAAACAGGGCATCTAAAATACTAACTTACACAAACAAGCTATCGAAGATAATCCTTTTTAGAATTAAATATTGATTGCACTATGAATTTCTCCTTGAAAGGATTAATAAAGGATAATTATAATTCTCTATTATTATTAACTAATGTGGTAACTTACCCGAATTGGCTAATGAAGATAATCCTTTTTAAGGAGGTCCTTTCGCCACACCTCTCGCCTCAAATGTTAAAAAAAAAGTTATTAGATTATGACTAAAATTAATTTTTTTCTAATAGTTGAAGTCCGTATTTATCTAATACTGAACTTTTAACTATACCTTACCTTGTAAATTTTTGAGAATTTTTTTTTAAAATGTGAGTATTTGTACAGTGCCTCACGAGAAAGTCCTCAACAACAATTCTCGAATTATACTATTATTTATTGATTAGATGGAGTAGAAAAAAACTAAAAATAAGGTTTTTGAAATATTTAGATTTTGTTTTATACAATAAAATATATATATATAATAAACCGTGGAACTTATTGAGAAATTAATATTAAAAAATCACAAAAAATTTTCAAGTAACCTAGTCGAAAATTTTT